TTTTACTATCTTCAATTTCAAAAACCAATTTTTTAGTTCCAGTATTTTATTATAATAAGTATAAATGAATACAATCATAATTTCTATTACAAATTTAATTCGATTAAAGCTATACTTTGATTTGAATGATAACTAACATGGATTTGATTTTCTGCGCTTTTAATTATTTTTACTATTTTTGAAAGAAACAAAACTATAAATATCATAATAAAGTCCTTTATTCAAACAAACTAAAACCTTTTAAAACAAAATAAATAATATGAAAAATTCATATTAAATTCAAATCTACAAATGTTTTTAAACTATTTTTAAATTTTTTTAAATATTTATTAGCCTATTTCACTATATAAATACTTAGACGCTATCTATTAATTATATTCAAAATCATAGGTGTTGAGTGTAAAAATTTAATTAAGGAAGAGTACTAAATTTATATGGCAATTGAACAATTAATAATCTATTAAAAAAAGATATTAAATATTTCTAGACTCATTCATATTATTTATTCCTATTTATTTTAGTTAGTTAATTATCTCTAAAATAAATGCATTCAAATTATCAAACACTGTTACGTGATATTTAAAATAAAGGATAAATATTTTCCATATTTTTACTATTTGATTTAATAGTTCAAACAACAAAAGCCTTCAAAAATCTTTCCTACACATTTATATTTTAAACTAATTTTAATTTGATTATTTAGCTTAGCTCCTACTAAAAAATTTAGTAAGAAATTTAGCAAACTTTAATTTTGCAGTAAAATCTTAATTTTACCTTGCTTTAATTTATAATTTTCGTACAATCAAAATAATTAATAAACAAATTATTGCTAATTTTAACCAGATTTTACTTTTATTAAGCACTAGTAAAGAGATGGATTTATCATATTTTTGATAATTTATTTATTTAACCTACCCCTTAAATATATGTTAATATAAACCCCTTTTTAATTAAATTGTACTATTTAAAATCAAAATTATATTTTTATATTTAATAATTAAACACAGATATTCTGTTAGTTTAATACAGTTTTTAAGTTTCTTCTTTATTGAAGCAAGATAGACTTAAAATACTGATAACATTCACTTAAAATATAATTTATTTATCTAAAAAATTAAAATAATAATAAAACTCGTAAAAAAACAAACAAATATTTTTAAATAAACTTAGCTTAAAAAAGTAATAAAAATGATCCCCATTCAATAAGCCAACACTTAATAGATTGTCCCTCTTGAATATGCTGCCAAAGCTTAGCAAACCAATGACTACTAACAATAGCTTTTAAAGATCTAAAGTTAATAACAAGCCACTGTTTTATCAAAAGTTTAATTCGATGTTCCTCAAAACTGGACTTAAGAAACCACTCACCTCAAATTCACTGAAAGATTCCTCTGCTATGGCTAATCCACTACATTCGTCTAAACTTAAAACTTTGGAAAAATCGAATTTTACAGAGAAAAGGGATGCAAACTCGCTTGCTTTGACACCAAGGGCTGCTGCTTATGTTATGAACACTCTGAAATCCCTTACATGTTCTAAAATCTTCCCAGCGAAGGATGTCCTATTCAAATTGAAATGTGTTGTTAAAAGACCGCTATGATTAGATACAAGGGAGTCATCCTTGGTAAAGTTGAACGTCTTATTTCTGGAAGTTGTGCAAGCTCTCCAAGATTCATTGTTAAACATGTTGATTAAACAAGATCTCCTATAGTTTTAATACCTGTTGTTTCTTGCGCCAATAGAATTGATACAATTTTGAACTACGCTTGTAAGTTCCCTAAAAAGGTTGACGTTGTTAGAGATGGCATTCCTATTACTTAGATTGTCAATTCTCATGTAGCCAATAGTATGTGTACTTTACCTTGGAATGAGCAAAATGCCTTCTACGGAAAGGCCGACATTTTATTTGAACAATCAATGAAGGACGATGAAAAGATCTTGATGATGTGCGGATGGATTGTCTAACAAGCTTACATGTCTCGTCTTCTTTGAAACAAATCTCTCTTTCTCTTTCTCTTAACCATTAATTCTACCAAAATTGATAATGAATAATTAATTTCTTTTTTGGTTATAATTAATTTTAAATTAATAAATTTGTTCTAATAAATACTAAATAAAAAGGAAATTAGTCTATAAAAAGTTATTATATTATTTTGAAGTTATAAAATATAAATTATATAAATTATGTACACTATCTCAAATATTTTATCTTATTCTTAATGAAATGTATCGTTTTTCAATTTGCTTTAAAATTTTTAATTGATTTATCAAACAAATATTAAATAAATAGAGTCAATCATGCTCTTTGTTGTATATCAAAAAATAATAAGAAATCAATAATTTCTACTAAAGAAAAAAGGTTAATTTTTGTAATATTTATCTTAATTGTTTGCTCTTTATAACAAGCAAAGTGTCTTAATATTATATTAAGGAAAAAGATATCTTTAGTAATGGAGTTAAAATGATAATTTATGTTGGATTAAAAATAAAATCTATAAATTTATATTCTTAATTAAAGTAATTTTTATCTTACATGCAAAAAATAAAATATTATTTTAATATTTTAAATTATTTTTGATTTAATCCTTAAAATTGTTTATTTTTTATGATATGGTAACTGCTAAAAAAGCTTAAAATTTATATATTAGCCTGTAAAATAAATATAGCGCATAAGAATTTAGTAAGTTAATAGTCATTAAGTTAACAAAAAAATAAAGCAAATGTATTTATACATTTAATTTCAATAAATAATTATAAAACTAATTACTTTGAGGTATCCATTAATTATAATGAATATTGATAACTTCTACTTTGTGATACTGCTTTGAATGAATAAGAACAAACAATTAAATGAATACAAAGCGCTAATCAAATGATATATAAAGACCTATTTATAAAAAATGTCATATCATATTTTTAATTTATAGATGTACTGCTTGCTCTACTCTACAAAATTACTATTTTTTTAAACTCTAAAGTTTTAAAAAATATTTAGTATTTGAATACATTTTTTGTGAATAAGTTATAATCAAATAGAATAAAGATTAGACTATCATGATTAATTATCATTTAATTATTAGTAATTTGATTTAGATAGTTCTTATAAGCTTAAAAAGTTATTAAACACAAATAAAAGATTAAAATCACTAAAAGGATAAAAAATTAAATTTAACTTCTTATTTTGATTAAGTCATTTTGACTGTTTTATTAGTGATCAATCCATAAGGCGACTAGTAATTTAATTTGTACTAGTTTTCCAATTTAATTAAACCAGTATATGATTTCATTAATATTGGATAATGTTTACTACAATTAGAGTATGCTTACGCAAGCATTATAATTTTACTTAATATCTTTAGATTAATAAAATGTCATCATGATTTTTCTAAGCATATTTTAGTCAAAATGAAATAATCTTTCTTAATTATTATTTTTAGTATTCAAAAAAAAAGTTAATATTTTATAATTTCTATATTAAAATGCTAAGTTTGATAGGAAACTGACGAAATTTCAAGTTTTAAGTTTAATTTTTTACTAACAAATATTGTTTATTGTTAATCTATTCTTAGATTAATTCTAAAATAAAAAATATTTTTTTACAAAAAATAGACGTTTTCAAGAAATTAGCATTTAATATCAAACAATTTATTGTTTAAAATTTAAATAGTAAAATAGATTAAAAATGGCTAATAAATATATATATTATACCCAAATTATTTAGATATTTTGCTATTGTTTATCTTAATTTTCTTTGCAATTAATATAGGTAAGATTAATAATTTTGGCTTTTTTATTATTGATCAATCCATAAAGCGACTAGTAATTTAATTTGTACAGTTTTCTAATTTAATTAAATTAGTATATGATTTCATTAATATTGGATAATGTTAACTACAATTAGATTATGCTTACGCAAGCATTATAATTTTACTTAATATCTTTAGATTAGTAAAATGTCATCATGATTTTTCTAAGCATATTTTAGTCAAAATGAAATAATCTTTCTTAATTATTATTTTTAGTATTCAAAAAAAAGTTAATATTTTATAATTTCTATTTTAAAATGCTAAGTTTGATAGGAAACTGACGAAATTTCAAGTTTTAAGTTTAATTTTTTACTAAAAAATATTGTTTATTGCTAATATATTCTTAGGTTTGATTAATTTAAAATGATACAAAAAATAAACGTTTTCAATAAATAAGCATTTAGTATCAAACATAATATTATTTAAAATTTAAATAGTAAAATAGATTTATGATGGCTAATAAAAGTTATATTATACACAAATTACTTTGATATTTAGCTATTGTTTATCTTAATTTCCTTTGCAATTAATTTAGGTAAATTAAATACAATAATAATACTATAAAAACATATTAACTATTACTTAAAGATTTTTTGATTGTAATCAATAAATTAAAGATTAATGAGTGAATATTAATTAATAGTTAATGATTCTACCATTATTTTATAATATTCAACTCTTAATCTTACATTTGTTTGGAGTTAATAATAATTAAGCACATTTTATTCTAAAATAATAATTATAAATTTAAAATTTAAAATAGGAAATTACATAATAAATTTAAAACAAAGGTTTTATGATAAAAATTAAAATAATATTATTTATTTAATTAGTCTTCATTATATCAAATATAGGGGTTAAATTCATATTTTCCCACTTTTCTACAAGAATTTAATACTTGGAAGTAATTTATCTACTTTAAAAAGATTGATTTTGCGTAGAATTTATAAGCAATAAATCTTAAAATAAAATATTAATTAGAGTTATTAACTCGAGTTAATAAAAAACTCGTTACAGCTCTGCTTCATGCTATCTTACAAACATATATCAATTTTATGAAAAAAATTAATGAATGAATAAACTAATCTTTATTTACAAAAAAAATATAAATAAATAAATATGCTTATACATCAAAAATCTAAATTTTTATGAATGAATTAATTTTATTTTTAGAAATAAATTTATTTAATTTATTCAAATTAAGATAGCTAATAGCATCATAAGTGCTAAAATTTTAAGATTTGCAGAATTTGTACTAACATTAATACTTTAGGATTCTGAAGTTTCCTTATCTTTCTTTTCTGAATTTTCATTGCTACCTGAAGATCCAGAATTAGTGTTACTACTATTACCTGAAGATCCAGAATTAGTGTTACTACTATTACCTGAAGATCCAGAATTAGTGTTACTACTATTACCTTAAGATCCAGAATTACTGTTACTACCTGATGAACCTGAGCTAGATGATCCTTTCTTAACACATCCAATTTCACCCTTTTTTGTTGCTGGATTTCCTGTATATCCGTACTTGCATTCACATTTTGTACTGCTGTAATTTAATTTTTCAGCAAATTAATCAAAACATTAACAAGAACCCATTGCGCCTTCTTTATTATAAGAATTTTCAGGACAAGGTTTGCATGTTGCAGCATGTTGATTAGAACTAGTCTCACCAGCAACTTCTGAAACATAGTAATTTTCAATACATTAATAGCAACTATTAAGGTTTGCTTTTTCACCAGTATTACAACCATGACATTGATTAGAGGTAGTAAGTTCAGGACATTTTTCGCATATATCTCCATAATTAGCACTCTTTCCATAATATCCTTTATTGCAAGCACATCTACCATCATATTTGGAGGCATTATCAGCGCATGCTGGTTCACATCCTGATTTATATCTATCATTAGATGCTTACCCAGTATAACCTGCTTTACAAACACAACTTTGAACGGTATCTGATAATTTATCGGCTAAGCTATCGATACAACCGCAATTTGCAATTGATCCTACTTCTCTTTATGGACCAGAACCAGATTTTTCTGGGCATTTTGAGCATTAAGCTGCTTAACCAGTTACTGGGTCTGCAGCTTTAGTCATAAAGTAACCTTCTTTGCACATTTTACAGAATGATGCATCTTTTCCTGCTGTTTGCTTATCTAAAGGAGCAGCACCCTCGCTTCCACAAGGAAGGCAAACTTTTTTACCATCTTTATTATTCCAATAGTAACCATCTTCACATTCCAAGCAAGCTTTATCTTCAGTTGTGACATTTATTCCTCTTGTCGCATATGTAGTCATGGAATGCTCAGGGCATTAAGTGCAAGTAGCAGGTGATTGCTTAGTTCCTTTTACTGTAACATAGTAGTTATATTAACATGTATTACAATCTGCAACTGTAGAATCAGGACGGGTGTTATAATAACCAGGAGTAGAATTGGTATTATCTGGGCATTAAACACATTTATCAGCACTTACACCATAGTATCCTTCTTTACAATAGCATTTCTCTGATTTTAAGAAACTATTTTCAGGGCATTCTTGTTAGGCTAAAGCAAATATGCCTAACAAAGCAAGTATTATGAATTATTTTTTCATTTTTTTATTGAACTAAAGGTTTTTATTTTTAGATTGATTATTAATTTGATTTTAATTATAATTTTTTGTTTTATTTGTTTTGCAATTTATAATAGTGTGAATACTTGCTTGGGTAAATACAGTTTGAACTAAAATTAATTTTAGAAAGTTATAAATTTTGATAATTTCTTCATAGTACTATTTAAAAAGGCAGCAGCATTTAGTAATAGTTTGGGTATAATTTAACTGATTGATGTTTAATAAATTAGCTGAGTTGTATTTGTAATATTAATTAATTTGATTAAAGCTTGAGTATTAGCTTTTAATAAAATTGATACTTTTAATAAACCAACGAGTGAGTTAAATTTTGTTTAAATCGTCTAAAACTAGTGTGGATTAATTTAAATCAATAAATAAATTGGCTTTAAAAAAGCTAGTAAAATATTTTGAAATATAATTTTGAAAAATAACATAGTACATTTACAAATTCAAAATATTTTAGTAACCTCAATATTTAAAAATGAGTATTGTAAAAAACTTAATTTAATATTAAACAAGTAATAAACAATCTATCTTTATCATGATTTTCATGAGATACATTCATAATGATTAATAAAAAATTGATAGTAATAGTAATTATTCTTATTCAAGCTTTTGATTATTAACGCAAGAATATTTTTGCAAAATTATTTGGACCATTTTTTAATTTTTAAAAAAGTAAGTTATATTTCTTGATGTTTTAATAAAATTTTAAATATATTTTTTTAAAATATTTTCATAAGGGGGATATTAATTATTTAAAAATGATAACTTTAAATTTAAAAAGTAAATTTTATATTTTAAGCAAACTAGAGTAATAAAATATAAAGATAATAAATAACCCCCTAATTTAATATAATGGATTATGATGAGTTTTTTAGTAATTCGTAATTAAGCAAATAGTATTTTATAAATTATACCTCATAAGTAGATCTAAGTAGTTTGAGTATTTACTAGAAAAAAACTATGGATTTACATTTAGCAAGTAAGATTAATAAATAATTATATAATAATAATAATAAGTTAAATCAACAGTATTTTGAAGATAATAAATTAATTAATATATTACTTTATATTAATTTACTTGGTATTATTTCATTAATTAACTTCTTTAACTAGTAATATCTGCTTTTCTTATCTATTTTAAATCAGTTTGAAATTAATTAAGCTTGAGCTCAAGCTAAAGTTATAAAAATGAGTATCATTCATCATATATTTTTATTATTTTTCTGAAGTAATTATTTAAGAAGAGCTGCCATTTACATGATAATATTTTGAATGAAATAAGAAAAAACAATTAAAAAAGTTCTAATCAAAGGATGAATAAAGGCTTATTTATAATTGAAGGATATAAAAAATATCATATCATATTTTTAATTTATAGATAGAATTCTCAACTCAACAAAATTATGTATTTGAATAAAATTCATATGAATAAGTTATGATCAAATAAAATAAAGATTAGACTATCATGATGAAGTATCATTTAATTATTAGTAATTAGACTTAGATAATTTTTATACTCTTAACAAGCAATTAAACACAAAAAAAAACAAAAATCACTAAAAGGATAAAAAATTATATAAAACTACTTATTTTGATTAAGCTATTTTGGCTATTTTATTATTGATCCCATAATACGACTAGAAATTTATTTGTACTACTTTTCTAATTTAATTAAATTAGTACATGATTTCATTAATATTAAATAATGTTTGATACTATTAAAATAAGCCTACGCAAGCATCATAATTTTACTTATAATCTATTTATTTTTTAAAAAATGTCATCCTAGTTTTTCTAAGCATATTTTCATCAAAATGAAATATTTTTTCTTAATTATTATTTATAGTATCCAAAAAAAAAGTTAATATTTTATAATTTCTACTATAAAATGCTAAGTAAGTTTGATAGGTAGTCGAAGATATTTTTACTAAGAAAGATTGCTTATTGTTCATATATTCTTATGATTGATTGATTAATTCTAAAATAAAAAATATTTTATTACAAAAAATAAATGTTTTCAAGAAAAAGTATTTAGGTTCAAACAAAAAATAATTTAAATTTAAAAATTTTATATAGTAAAATAGATTTAAGATGGCTAATAAAAGTCAAATTATACAATTACTTAGATATTTATTTTGCTATTGCTAATCTTAATTTTCTTTACAATTATTTTAGGTAAATTAAATATAATAATACTATAAAAACAAATAAACAAACAAATTGACTATTACTAAAAGTTTTTTATAACTTTAATCAATATATTTAAGATAAATGAGTGTATATTAATTAATAGTGAGTGATTCTACTATTATTCTGTAATATTCAACTCTTAATCTTGCTTTTTTACTAAAGTTAAACGCCTTTTTAATTTTGAATAGGCTATCAAAACTAATGAATATTTAATTAAAGAAATTTAGACAAATGCTTAGCTTAAAAAAATATAAATTAGATTAAATTTTGAAAATCTTTGTTAATTTTTTGTTAAAAAATTGATAGAATCTTTGAAACTATCAAAAAAAAAAATCGTAGCTCCCTTTTTTTTCTTTTTGATTAATAGAACAATTCCAGGATATTTTTTAATCAATTAATTATTTTTATTTTTTCATTTATATTGATTTAAGTATTAAATGGCTGGGCTTGTGAAAAAAGAGTGGAATTTAAGTATAATAGTTAAATTAACAGTATTTTGAAGATATTTAATTAATTATTTCATTTAAATTTATATGGTACTATTTCATTATTATCTTATTTTCTTAGTAATATCTGGTTTACAGGATTATTTTAAATCAGTTTGAAATTAAGTTGGAGTTCAAGCTAAAGTTATAAAAAATTAAAATCATCATATATTTTTATTATATTTTTGAAGTAATTATTTTTATGAGCTACCATTTACATAATAATGCTATGATTGAAAAAGTAAAAAGTACTAATCAAATGATTTAAATATAAATGCTTATTTTATAATCAAAGGATATCATAATTTATAGAATTGATAGGTCTACTTAACAAAATTGTATTTTTTTTAAAGCTCTAAAAATAAAAAAATATCTAGCATCTGAATAAAATTGTGAATAAGGTATGATTATGATCAAATAGAATAAAGATTAGTTATTCATGATGAAGTATCATTTAATTATATCATAATTTTTTAGATAATTCTTATAAGTTTAATATGCAATTGAACACAAATAAAAAATTAAACTTAATTACACTATTTATTTTGAATAAGTCATCTTGGCTGTATTATTAGTGTTCGATAGGTGACTAGTAATTTAATTTGTACTAGTTTTTCTAATTTAATTAAATTAGCATATGGTTTAATTAATGTTAAATAATATTATTAGAGTAGGCTTACGCAAGCATTATAATTTTACTTAATATCTTTCAATTAATATAGCGTCTTCTTCATTTCTCAAAGCACATTTTAATAAAAATGAAAAATTCTTTTTTAATTATTATTTTTAGTACTCAAAAAAAGTTAATATTTTATAATTTCTATTTTAAAAACAAAGTTTGATAGGTAACCAAGAATATTTTAAAGTTTTTGATTTTACTTTTTAACTAAAAAATATTATTTATTATCAAAATATTCTAGCTATTAGCTATTGATTAATTCTAAAATAAAAGATTTATTATTACAAAAAATAAATGTTTTGAAGAAATACGTTTAGTATCAAACAAAATATTTTTAAAATTTAAATAGTAAAATATATTTGAGATGGTTAACAAAGTTATATTATATACAAATTACTTAGATATTTTGCCATCGCTTATCTTAATTTCCTTTGAAATTATTGTAGGTAAATTAAATATAATAATACTATCAAAATCAATAACTATTACTTATAAATTTGTTAACTGTAATATAAATAAATTAAAGATAAAAGAGTGAATGTTAATTAATTAATTATCTATCTATCCATAGCGAATGATTCTACCATCATTCAGTAATTGTCAACTCTTAATCTTACTTTTTTACTAAAAGTTAATAATTTAATAATTATAAATTCTATGCAAAATCTCTCTTTTAAAGTAGATAAACATAAAAATTACAAAATTTAAAATATAATAAAATTCGAGGGTAATTATTTATAAATAAATACTTAAATCTTGCTCGGATTCCTAAAAATATGCAGTACATTATTTATTTAATACTGGAATTAAAACTACTTTTAAATTTTTAGTACTTAATACTATCTTACAAACATATGTCAATTTAATTGAAAAAAAAATTAACTGATAAATAAATTTTTATTAACAAAAAATATAAATATGTTTATACATCAAAAATATAAATTTTTATGCATGAAAATAATTTTATTTTTAGAAATAAATTTATTTATTTATTTATTTATTTATTTAACTTTTTCAAATTAAAATTGCTGATAACATCATAAGTGCTAAGATTTTAAGATTTGCAGAATTTGTATTAACATTAATACTTTATGATTCGGAAGTTTCCTTATCATTCTTTTCTGAACTTGAATTGCTGCCTGAAGATCCAGAATTACTGTTACTGCCTGATGAACCTGAACTAGATGATCCTATCTTAACGCAACCTACTCCGCCCTTTGTTGTTGCAACTTTACCTGTGTATCCGTACTTGCATTTACATACATTATCGACATAATTTAATCTTTCAGCATATTAATCAAAACATTTACAAAAGCCCATTCCGCCTTCTTCATTATAAGAATTTTCAGGGCAAGCTTTGCATTTTGCAGCATGAGCATTAGATCCGTACCCGTCAGCAGTTTCTTCAACAAAGTAATTTTCAATACATTAATAACAACTTCTAATACTTGCTTTGTCACCAGTATTGCAACCATGACATTAATTAGAAAGAGTTAATTCAGGACATTTTTCACATTTATCCCCGTATTGAGCTTTCTATCCATAATATCCTTTATTGCAAGCACATCTACCATCATACTTGGAGGCATTATCAGCACATGCAGGTTCACATCCTGATTTTGAATAATCATTAGATGTTATCCCAGTATAACCTGCTTTACAAACACAAGTTGTAACGGTATCTGATAATTTGTCTGCTAATCTATCAACACAAGAGCAACTTGCAACTGATCCAACATCTGTTTACACAGAAGAATAAGATTTTTCTGGGCATTTTGAACATTAAGCTGGTTAACCAGTTGCTGAATCTGCGGCTTTAGTCATAAAATAAGTTTCTTTGCAACTATTACAGAATGATGCATCTTTTCCTGCTTTTTGCTTATCAAAAGGAACAGCGCCTTCACTTCCACAAGGTAAGCAAACTTTTTTACCATCTTTATTATTCCAATAGTAACCATCTTCACATTCTAAGCATGCTTAAGCTTCAGTTTTGACATCTTCTCCATTTGTATGAATTGTAGTCATGGAATGCTCAGGACATTTAGCGCAAGTAGCAGGTTACTCTTTAGTTGCTTTACCTGTAACATAGTAATTATATTAACATTTTTTACAATCTGCAGCAGTAGCCTTATCATAGGTGTTATAATACAAACCAGGGAAAGAAGTAGTATTATCTGGGCATTGAACACATTTATCAGCACTTACACCATAATATCCTTCTTTGCAAACGCAGTTATCTGATTTTAAGAAACTATTTTCTGGGCATTCTTTTTAGGCTAAAGCAAGTATGCCTAACAAAGCAAGTATTATGAATTATTTTTTCATTTTTGTATTGAACTTAAGGTTTTTATTATTTAGATTAATTATTAATTTGATTTGAATTATATTTTTTTGTTTTGTCTGTTTTGCAATTTATAATAGTGGGAATACTTATTTAGTTAAATAAAGTTTGAAACCAAAATTAATTTTAGAAAGTTATAAATTTTGATGGTAGCTTGATCGTACTATTTGAAAAAGGCTAGCATTCAGTAATAGTTTGCGTATAATTTAACTGATTGATTTTAATAAATTAGTTGAGTTGTATTTGCTAGATTAATAAATTTGATTAAAATTTGAGTATTTATTAGCTTTTAATAAAATTCACAATTATAATAAGCCAACAACGGGTGAGTCAAATTTTGTTTAAATTGTCTAAAATTAATGCGGATTAATGTAAATTAATAAATAAATAAATTGGCTAAATAAAGATTAATAAAAAAGTGATAGTAATAGTAATTATTCTTGTTCAAGCTATTGATTGTTTGTTAACGCATGAATATTTTTACAAAAACATTTGGCCCATTATTTAATTTTCAAAAAAATAAGTTATATTTTTTGATATTTTAATAAAATCTTAAATATATTTAAAGAATATTTTTTCATAGGGGATATTAGTTATTTTAAGGTGATAAGTTTAAGATGGAAGATTAAGCAGAATTAAATTTAAGCTAACTATAGAGCAATATAATATAAAGATAATTACCCCCTTATTCAATATTGTGACTTATGATCATCTTTTTTAGAAATTTGAAATTTTTACAACCACTACTAGCAAAAAACTATGAATTTTCATTTAACAAGTAATATTAACAATTATTAAGTATTAATAAGTTAAATTAACAGTTTTTTGAAGATATTTAATTAATTATTTCATTTAAATTTATATGGTACTATTTCATTAATTATCTTATTTTGTTAGTAATATCTGATTTACAGAACTATTTTAAATCAGTTTGAAATTAAGTTTGAGCTCAAGCTAAAGTTATACAAAATTAACATCATCATATATTTTTATTATATTTTTGAAGTAATTATTTTTATGAGCTACCATTTACATGATAATGATATGATTGAAAAAATAACCAACAATTAAATGAGCAAAAAGTACTAATCAAATGATTTATAAAGGCTTATTTTATAATCAAAGGATATCATAATATATATATATATATCGCTCTTCTTAACAAAATTGTAATGTTTTTAAAGCTATAAAAATAAAAAAAATATGCAGCATTTGAATAAAATTCTTTTGAATAAGCAATGATTATGATCAAATAGAATAAAGATTAGACTATAATTGTAGTATCATTTAATTATATAATAATTTTTTATATAATTCTTATAAGCTTAACATGTAATTAAACACAAATAAAAAATTAAACTTAATTACACTACTTATTTTGAATAAGTCATTTTGGCTGTATTATTAGTGTTCCATAGGTGACTAGTAATTTAATTTGTACTAGTTTCTAATTTAATTAAATTAGTGTATGGTTTAATTAATGTTAAATAATATTATTTGAGTAGACTTACGCAAGCAATATAAATTTACTTAATATCAAATTTGTGAGGTTAGTGCAATTCTTTAAAGCAGAAGCTAATGCCAATGTACCTGTATCTCCAATATAATTACGTCTTTTTAAATATTAAACAAAAAATAAAAAATTAATTAATTAGTTAGTTAGTAAAAATGAATAAATAATAAGAAATTATTGGAGATAAAGATTAGAGGTCTTTCAATTAATATAGCTTCTTCTTCATTTCTCAAAGCACATTTTAATAAAAATGAAAAATTCTTTTTTAATTATTATTTTTAGTACTCAAAAAAAGTTAATATTTTATAATTTCTATTTTAAAAACAAAGTTTGATGGGTAACCAAGAATATTTTAAAGTTTTGATTTTACTTTTTAACTAAAAAATATTATTTATTGTCAAAACATTCTAGCTATTAGCATTGATTAATTCTAAAATAAAAGATTTATTATTACAAAAAATAAATGTTTTGAAGAAATACGTTTAGTATCAAACAAAATATTTTTAAAATTTAAATAGTAAAATATATTTGAGATGGTTAACAAAGTTATATTATATACAAATTACTTAGATATTTTGCCATCTCTTATCTTAATTTCCTTTGAAATTATTGTAGGTAAATTAAATATAATAATACTATCAAAATCAATAACTATTACTTATAAATTTGTTAACTGTAATATCAATAAATTAAAGATAAAAGAGTGAATGTTAATTAATTAATTATCTATCTATTCATATTGAATGATTCTACCATCATTCAGTAATTGCCAACTCTTAATCTTACTTTTTTACTAAAAGTTAATAATTTAATAATTATAAATTCTATGCAAAATCTCTCTTTTTAAAGTAGATAAATATAAAAATTACAAAATTAAAAATATAATTTATGTCAATATTGATTACGCTAAAATGATTAGATACTATGGTATGTATGTTATTTATATTTACTTATACAACATTATAGCACTTCCAGTTATTAATTAAATTCTTGTAGATGTGGAAAAATAAGAAAGAATTTAATTCCTGGATTTGTTTGATATAAATATAGACAATTGATTAATTAAATAAATAATTTTATTTTAATTTTTATCATAAAATCAATTTTTTGATTTTTGATTTATTTAATTATGTAATTTGAATTTTAAATTTTAAATTTAAAATAGATTTTTATTTTATAATACCACAAATATGCTATATAATTTTAATACAAAATATTAATTATTAAATGCCGTCCGCAGACTTTAGAGGGTAATTATTTATAAATAAATACTTAAATCTTGCTCGGATTCCTAAAAATATGCGGTACATTATTTATTTAATACTGGAATTAAAACTACTTTTAAATTTTTAGTACTTAATACTATCTTACAAACGTATGTCAATTTAATTGAAAAAAAATTAACTGATAAATAAATTTTTATTAACAAAAAATATAAATGTGATTATACATCAAAAATATAAATTTTTATGCATGAAAATAATTTTATTTTTAGAAATTTATTTATTTATTTATTTATTTAACTTTTTCAAATTAAAATAGCTAATAACATCATAAGTGCTAAGATTTTAAGATTTGTAGAATTTGTATTAACATTAATACTTTATGATTCGGAAGTTTCCTTATCATTCTTTTCTGAACTTGAATTGCTGCCTGAAGATCCAGAATTACTGTTACTGCCTGATGAACCTGAACTAGATGATCCTATCTTAACGCAACCTACTCCACCCTTTGTTGTTGCAACTTTACCTGTGTATCCGTACTTGCATTTACATACATTATCGACATAATTTAATCTTTCAGCATATTAATCAAAACATTTACAAAAGCCCATTCCGCCTTCTTCATTATAAGAATTTTCAGGGCAAGCTTTGCATTTTGCAGCATGAGCATTAGATCCGTACCCGTCAGCAGTTTCTTCAACAAAGTAATTTTCAATACATTAATAACAACTTCTAATACTTGCTTTGTCACCAGTATTACAACCATGACATTAATTAGAAAGAGTTAATTCAGGACATTTTTCACATTTATCACCGTATTCAGCTTTCTATCCATAATATCCTTTATTGCAAGCACATCTACCATCATACTTGGAGGCATTATCAGCACATGCAGGTTCACATCCTGATTCATATCTATCATTAGATGTTTTCCCAGTATAACCTGCTTTACAAACACAAGTTGTAACGGTATCTGATAATTTGTCTGCTAATCTATCAACACAAGAGCAACTTGCAACTGATCCAACATCTGTTTACACAGAAGAATAAGATTTTTCTGGGCATTTTGAACATTAAGCTGGTTAACCAGTTGCTGGATCTGCGGCTTTAGTCATAAAATAAGTTTTCTTTT